TAAGCCCACACAGTCTTTATTTGAGATTAGCAATTATTGGGAAAGCTGCTGGTGATTCAGCCTAGTATATTCCCTTATTCACTCAGCAAAGCAAATGTTTAATTTGCCCAGTGAAATTAGTGGATTGGAAAAAAGATGGTCCAAATGATCATTTATCAGTCCACTTGTGAGTGAACAGGACACACCAGCAGTCCTTCTTAAACATAAAAACTCCTGAGGGATATCAATCCAGTGATTGGACAAAAAATATAGAAACACTACATAATTTGCAGGTGTGAAAGTGACGACATGTTTTGTGTTGAAAGTGGAATTCATGTAACATTCATTTGCTTCAAAAGCCCCACTTTCGTCATTTACTATGTGCCCTGCTAATAATACAGAGTCATGTCAAAAAGGACAAATTGTTCATGCCCACTTAGCTGGTGCCTCTGTGACTGAAGTTGCCAATTTATTTGTGGTATATCGAGGTACAGCATCAAAGGTATATACAGTTTTATGGAAACGGTCACCTGATAAGTGTGGTTGACATGGTCAATTGACCGAAAGAGACAAAAGGACATTGCGCAGGATTTTGGCCTGGAATAAAAAAAAACTGATGCAAAAGTGATGGCAGAGCTCAATCTCCGTCTTCCAAAGCTCGTGTCCATAAAAACTGTGCAGAGGAAAAAACATTCATGGGCAAGCTGCATAAAACCCAAAAGACCAATATTAACGTTCAGAAGAGGAGAGAGTGGTGCAGCATCAATAAATCATGGGCTATCTATCAATGGAAGGCTGTAATATGGTTTGATAATTACAGCTTCACACTGTTTCCAACCACCGGACATGTTTACGTAAACATTGTGGTAAACACTGTCCCAAGCTTACGACCAGGACTGTCTTGTGCCAACAATAAAGCATGATGACAGCTCAATCATGATTTGGGCAACCATATTTTGGTATTCTGCAGACTCTATCATCACCTTGAAAGGTAGAGTCACTATCAGCAACTATGTACACATTTTGTGTACCCCATGGTGCAGACATTGTTTTCAGAAGACAGCACCATTTACCATGATGATAATGCTCTGATTCACTCAGCTGGTTTTGTCAAATTGTGGTTTGACAAGCATGCAGACAAAGTCCTGCACCTTACCTGGGCATTGCAGTCACCGAACCTCAATATCATCATCAACAAGGTTCGGGATCGGCATCTCTGCCTGGACCAATTTTTGCATGAAGAGTGGTATCAGATTCCATTATCCAACATACAAGGCTTATAGTTGTCAATTCCCAGGAGAATTTAGACCTTCTTGGATGCCAAAGGTGGTCCAACATATTAGGTAACGATTTTGTACTTTTACTTGGTGTTTCCATAATTTTGTCTAACTCCTGTATTTTAAAAAATAAGTACTATTCTTTTTCCTATTAGGCCAGTTACTGTATGTCATGCAGTAGGAATTTCCACCCGATATTTCCCTATAGTCTTAAAACAGACCTTCACCCATCAAAATAGCATTTTTTCTTGCTGGCTCCTCTCTCAGCCCTCTCACCCCCCATTGCCAACTGGGATATGTGAAATGCACAGGGGGGTTCTTTTGACCTTGTCAGAGACCTTTGCCACATCTGCAAGATTTCCTGTGCATGTGCACAGATGTAGCAGATCTCAAGATACCAGATATTAGTGTTGTGTGCCCAAAGACTGGGCAGAGATCTTGGGCACATCTAAGCACACACAAGATTTTCAAAGATGTCAGCATGGGAGATGAGGGGTGGGACTAAAATATCATGAAATTCCTTAAAGAGGGATCCCCTATTGATTACATTAAGCAAAATATTGAGCAAATCAGCATCATAGTCAAAGAATGCTACTTTGCGATAATACTTGACTCAATGCAAACCATCAGATTCAATGTAAGTTATTTGTGCAGACATCTCATGCTCACAGGACTCAGAAGTGGTTGTGTGCTGGGGAGCGTTGGCAGGATTCCATTTAAAGTTAAAGTGGTATTAAACCCAAAACCGAAAATGTAATATTTTGCAACTTTACCAGTCAGTTTATGTGGTGCGTTAGTTTTCTTTTTTTAGGCTTTTTTCCTCTTAATTCACCTGGTGATCTGGCCAGTAATGCAGGCCATAGACGGGCCGTTTATCAGAAAAATTGTCGGCCGATAAACGAAAAATCGGTCGGTGCTGTTGCCGATGCTGCCACCAATGCTCACGAATGGGACAAGAAACCAGTTTGACAGACAGGAGAGCACACCATACAATGTGACAGCAATACAAATACATTACGTTTTTTATTTGGATACAAATGGATACATTTGTTGCAACCGCAAGACTTTTTCATATAAAATATAATAGCGGACTTCTTTGTTGCAACCGCAAGACTTTTTCATATAAAACATAATAGCGGACTGTTTTTTTTCTACTCCTATAAACCTATCTTTGCTTGAAAAGTAGAACATTTTAAAGAACCTTTTTAGAACCTCATTACCTTTTCTAGGAATACAATTTAATTTTGGGCTTTCAGAAACAATATATATATATATATATATATATATACACACATACATGTGTGTGTGCATTTACAGTAAAAAGAATGATGGCAACCTTGCAGGTCATGGCTGATGCGCAGATTTTTTTATCGATAAAACGATCGGCCAATTTGCCCATCATTGCCGGGAAAATCAGCTGATTGTCCAAATTGGCCACAAATTTTCCAACATGACCGATAAAAACACTGTGCGAAAAACCCGAGAAACGGCCGACCAATTAACCCACTAACAGTGCGAAAATCGGCCGATTTTTTCTTTCGGCAGAAAAATTGGCCGATTTTCAACCCGTCTATGGCCAGCATAACACACCTCCTGTATTAGATTACCTACAATTGCAATAGAGACACCTTTGGACAGCAGCACTGTTAGTCTGGGGGAAAGGTGAATGTTAGATGTACTAGCAAGTTTATACATACTAAACAAACTGAAATCAAACTACAGCTAATACATTATAAGCAATTACAGTAACAGTTTTTTTTCATTTGCGATAAAGGTTTTACACAAATAAAAGTTTTTCATTGTAAACATCCTGTCAGCAGTAGATTATTTGCTCAACCCTATAGCTGCTATGTTTGCAGATCATCAAGTGAAAATAAAAGAAAGAACCTCTAAAAAATAAAACTAATGCAGACACCATATTTAAGAATTGGTGAGCTGCAATATAATAAAATGCATACTTTTGGGTTTTATACCACTGTAAAGAGCACTTTTAGCTCAAAATGTAATGGCAATACCACTGCACAGTCTTTTTTTATCACTTAAAATGTTATTGAATTTCAACAAAGAAGTGATACAAAGTAGTAAAAGCATTTAGAAAAGCTGTAAATACATTTATTAATAGAAGGCATACAGGTAACAAAGTAACAGGTGTGCATACAGGATGCACATCAGTAAGGATTGCTGTGCATCCTGACCAGGTATCAACCACGTAAACCACATAAAAAAAAAAAAATAATACAGGAGATACGATACAATGCAGATCAATGCAGGCCGTATATTGTCATAATGTGAACCTGGATGGGGATAATCAAATGAACTTCACCAATGATATTTCAATAACATTCAGGAGCTATCTGAGAAGAGGGTCACTGGAGAGGTCATTTATCCAAAGTGACCAATTTGCTAGAAATTTGGGGATTGTTAAATGTGCTTTGGCAAACATATATTCCATGTTTAGATTTTGGTTAAGAATGGAAATAAGTTGTGGGAGATTTGGTGGGATCTGATCAGGGGCGGACTGACAACTCATGGGGCCCCCGGGCAATAGTGGATTCTGGGGCCCCTGTGTCCTTGCCCAAACTCAAAAAAGCCTATGAAAAAGGTACCAGGGGCATCTCATGGGGCCCCCTACTGACCCCGAGCCCTCAGGCAGTGCCCGAGTTTCCAAATTGTCATTCCTCCCCTGGATCTGATTTTTCCAGATGCGTGCAACAGATAGACGTGCTGCTATCAAAATATGTGGGATAATGAAATGATACTGTCTAGGTCATTGCTCCAGACCAATACCGAGCAGCGACACTGCACAGTCTTTTTATGTTTGCCTGAGTCTTTTGGAGATTCAGACAATTTCAAGTAGACCTTTCTTCTGGAATCGGAAAGCTACAATAAGTTAGAACTGTACACACACATTTCTGAAAGCAGTGCTAAACTAACCCCAGCAGCAGGTATCATAGAAACCCCTGTCCCCACCATCATCACTTTCTGGTTATTTTTTGGCACTAACACCTGCCCTTCGTCACACCATGGGGTTGGTTTACTGAAGGTAAATATACTGTGCACTGCAAGTGCAGTTGTTTTAGCCACTTGCCCTCCAGAGGATTTACCCTCCTTCCTCACCAGGCCATTTTATGCGATATGCAGGGGCGGACTGACCATTCGAGCACTCGGGCACTGCCCGCCGGCCTGGGGTCAGTAGGGGACCCCATGAGATGCCCCTGGTACCTTTCATTGGCTTTTTCATAGGCTTTTTTGGGTGTGGGCAAGGACACAGGGGCCCCATGATCCCCTATTGCCCGGGGGCCCCATGAGTTGTCAGTCCGCCTCTGGCGATATGGCAGTGCGTTACTTTAATTGACAACTGCGTGCTCATGCAGCGCTGTACATAAATTAAATTTATGTCATTTTCTTCCCACAAATAGAGCCGTCTTTGAGTGGTATTCGATCACTTCTGTGTTTTTTTATTTTTTGCACTATAAACAAAAAAAGACCAACAATTCAAAAAACAAACAATATGTTTGACTTTTTGGTATAAAACATATCCAATAAAAACATTTTAAAAAACAAATTTTGTCATAAATTTAGGTCAAAATGTATTCTGCTGCATGTCTTTGCTAAAACAAATTCCCAATCCGTGTATATTAATTGGTTTACGTGAAAGTTATAGCGTCTACAAATGGCGGTATATATTGAACATTTTTTTGTTATACTAGTAATGGCGGCGATCAGTGACTTATAGTGGGACTGCGGGACTGCGGCGAGCATTCTGACACTGGGTGGGAACTGACAAACTACCACTGACATCCCTAGTGACACTAATACAGTGACTAGTGCTAATAAAAAGCACTGACACTGTACTAGTTACACTGGGCAGCAAGGGATTAACATATGGGGCGGTCAAAGGGTTAACCGTGTGCTGTGCTGTGTTTTATTTGGGTGATAGTGATGGTTGATAGTGGTGCTATTGATCCTGACTGAGAAATCAGGGGAAGAAGCATGTGGGGGAGGAAATATTATGAGCTCAGTTTTGGAAAGATTGAGTTTTAGGAAGTGGTGTGACATCCAGTCTGATATGTCTGTTAGTATATGATGTGAGGAAACTGATGGGGTGAGCTGAGGAGTAGAGAGATAGATTTGTGTGTCATAAGCATAGTAATGGTATTTAAAACCATGGGAAGCTATCAGCTGCTCCAAGGACAAAGTGTAGGCCGAGAATAGGAGAGGTCCAAGGACAGAACCTTGGGGGACCCTGATAGTAAGAGGAGTGGGACAAGAGGAAGTAGAGTTGTAAGTGACACTGAAGGTCCGATGAGATAGGTAAGATTCGAACCAACGAAGAGTACAGTCACCGAGGCCAAGTAAATAGAGTTTTTTGAGGAGGAGGGGGTGTTCAACTGTTTCAAAGGCAGTGGAGAGGTCCAAGAGTAAGAGTACAGAATAGTGACCATTGGTTTTAGTGGTTAGTAAGCCGTTTGTGAGTTTTAGGAGAGCAGTTTCTGTGGAGTGTTGTGGGTGAAATCCAGACTGAAGGGGATCGAGAAGGTTATTTTCAATAAGGTGGCAGCTCAGCCAGTTGTAGACTAGATGTTCAAGGAGTTTGGAGGTAAAAGGAAGTAAGGAGAGCCTAAGGTTGCTAAGATTGGTGGGGTCCAGTGGAACATTTTTAAGTATGGGGGTGACTAGCGCATTTTTTAGAGAGTTGGGGAAGAGGCCAGTAGAAAGGGAGAGATTGAAGATATGAGTTAAAGAATGAAGGATAGAGCCAGAGGGTGACCGTAGTATTTGTGAGGGAGCAAGTTCCAGGGGACTGGTGGTTAGGTGGGCTTTAGAAAAAAGTTTACCAACCTCCTCTATAGTAGCTGGGTTAAACAAGGGAAGTATAGATTGTGCAGGTGGACAAGGAGTGTAGGGTGGGGGATATATCTGTACAGTGGAGATCTCATCACGAATTGTAATAATCTTATTTTTGAAGTGATTAGCGATCTCCTGGGCAGTGAGTGAGTTAGTGGGTGGAAGTAAAGGAATATGAAGTAGAGAGTTAAAGGTAAAAAAGAGCTGATGGGGATTGCGTGGGAGGGTGTTAATGAGAGTGATAAAGTAGGTCTGTTTGGCAGTGTGGAGACAAGAATTGCATTTTTGAAGGGCAGATTTATATTGGTCGAAGTCTTGCAGGGTCTTAGTCTTATGCCATAAACGCTCCAGAGCACGGCTATGTTTTTTGAGGCATCTGGTATTGTCTGTTTACCAGGGCTGTAGTGGTCAAGGCCTGTTTCTCTGTGTAGAGAGTGGAGCCAATATGTCCAGGGTGGATGACAGTGAACAATTGTAGACAGAAGTAGCCAGGGGGCAAGACAGGGCAGAGATTTTGTCATAGAAACAATCTGTTGCCGAAGAAAGAAGAGAGGTTGAGATAACAAATGTTTCTATGGGTAACTGTTTGATAGTTGTAAACCAAGGAGGAGGAAGCCAAGGAGCAGGGTGAAGCTAATAAGGGAGTGATCAGAGAGAGGAAAAGGAAAGTTGGTGAGGTTGCAAGGAGTGCATAGGTAGGAGAATACAAGGTCGAGGCAGTTACCATTGGAGTGAGTAGAAGCATGTGTCCATTGTTTTAGGTCAAAAGAAGTGGTTAGGCTCAGAAGTTTAGAGGTAGCAGGAGTGTTAAGATTAACAGGGATTTTGAAGTCACCAAGAATGATAGTGGGAATTTCAGAAGAGAGAAAGTAAGGCAGCCAGGCAGAGAAGTCATCAAGGAGCTACTGGTCCAGGAGGCCGATAGATCACAGCAATTCTTAAAGAAACTGGAGAGAACAGACGAATACAGTGAACTTCAAATAAGGAAAGGGACAGAGAGGGAGGTGAATAAAGGACCTTAAAAGTGCTTTGAGGAGATAGGAGGATTCCAATTCCACCTCCTTTCCATCCACTAGGCCTGGGAGAGTGAGTCCAGAGGAGACCACCATGGGAGAGGGCAGCAGGGGAGGGAAAGTCAGATTCATGAAGCCAGGTTTCCGTAATTGCAAGCAAGTTAAAGGAGTTTGTGATAAAAACGTAATGGACAGAGGTGTGTTTGTTAGAGACAGAATAGCATTCCAGAGGACACAGGAAAAACGGAGGCTGGTTCTAGGAAGAAGAGGAATAGTAACTAGATTGTGTGTATTGCGGCTGCTGTTGGAGGATATGGGGTGCCGGGTGTGTTGATCAAAGGAAAAATATGGCGGCCCAGGATTTGAGAAAATGTCTACAGATGTTAGGAGAAGCAGAAGGGTGAGGGAGGTAATATGGGAGTATGACTTATATGGAGGGACAGGTTCCAGAGTCCTGGAGGTTTTATTAGTGTGTGGGTTCAGAATTAGCAGGAGTTGATGAGTACAGTAATAAGGTGAAGACAGAAGTGAGGATGATATATATATATATAAGTTGTGGGGTGAAGGAGAGAGAGTTTGAAGAGAGATGATACAACTGTGAGAAGGAGGAGTAGAGAGTGCATGTTACAGAGAGGAGATGAAGCAGACTGGATAAGAGCTGAAAGAGTTGGATGGGGAAAAGGTCACCTGTAGTCTGATTAGTATTAGAAGTTGTCTGCTTCTCGCTTTGTGCATTCACTGAAGTGCAATGCTCAATACTTAATCCAAGATCAATACTTTATCCATGATGATAGTTGCCAATGCTACCCCTGGCTGTGCTGCCCCTGTCTATGCACAGACATTTTACTGGAGTTCAATGCCTGCTTTTAATGATAAAAAGGTACAGTTTAGTTTGAAAGAACTATCTTTTTGCTATATGTTGTATGTGAAATATATGTTAGTGCAGATTGGTGATAGGTCCCTAAGATCAAAATCCAATTTATTATAAACAAATAAAATGGCTTCTAATGGCACTTTGTACTTCCGCATTACTCTAATTTCCTTGTGTAAGCTCTATATCTGAACAGTGGAGAAATGTAGCTAAATTGCAGGCTATTGTACAAAATATAAAACCTCTGAGTTAATAAAAATCATTAAATGTTGTGATAAAAGCAATGTTTGTCACTGTAAAAATACATTGACAGGGAGAGCCAGTTTTGGCAGTCATTTATAAAGTTCCTGTACTGTCATGTGAAAGTGTCAGACTTTCCCTGATCGGCTGCAGTTCCACAATGTCTGATTGGTTACACACTGGGGTTGATTTACTAAAGGCAAATAGGCTGTGCACTGCAAGTGCGCTCCAGGTGCACTTGGAAGTGCACTGCAAATGCACTGAAAGTGCGGTTGCTCTAGATCTGAGGGGAACATGCAAGGAAAATTAAAAAACAGCATTTTTGCTTCAACACGATTGGATAAAAGAAATCAGCAGAGCTTTGTCTCATTTCAGAGCTTACCCTCAGATATAAAGCAACTGCACTTGCAATCCACAGTATATTTACCTTTAGTAAATCAACCCCTTTATTTACCTGTAGTAAATCAACCCCTATGGTGTTGGTTTACTAAAGGCAAATAGGCTGTGCACTGCAAGTGCACTCCAAGTGCAGTTGCTCTAGATCTGAAGGGAACATGCAAGGAAAATATAAAAAAACAGCCTTTTGGGGTTGGTTTACTAAAGGAAAATATACTGTGTACTGCAAGTGTCTCGCAAGTGCACTGAAAGTGCAGTTGCTTTAGATCCGAGAGGAAGCTCTGAACTGAGGTGAAGCTCTGCTGATTTTTTTCATCCAATCATGTGCAAGCAAAAATGCTGTTTTTTTATTTTCCTTGCATGTTCCCCGCAGATCTACAGCAATTGCACTTGCGGTGCACTTCAAAGTGCACTTGAAGTACACTTACAGTGCACAGCCTATTTGCCTTTAGCAAATCAACCCCCTTGTGTACATGAGTACATTCTCTGAACCGCAGGACCACAGCTTTTTCATTCACTGTTTACAGACATTCTGGGGTATTTCAAAGCAATCACTACATATTTGACCAAGTTGTTGTGTTAGCAGGGTGCTCAGTTGGAGAGGGATCAGTTGGCCTATCTCCTGGATCTCCCAAAAGAGGAGATCAAGCACATCCTGCAGGATGAGATCTTCAGATTTCCATAGAGCACAGCCGGTTTTGGCCTGGATACCCCTGAGGATCTGCACCAAATACCTACACCAGAGGGGGAAGAGGAGGAGTATCCTAAACTGTACTTGTGCTGTCACTGCCATTATCCCCTCAACCAGAGGTAGATGCACAGGCAACTGGAGGGTCACTTGGGGTATTGGTGTAAGTGGAGGGTAATGCTGGGGATAAAGGTCTAGGAAGAGGGTGGCAGGAGAGACTGGAGAAAGAATTTATGATCATTTTAGGCAAGAACCATGCACGTTTTGGTGCTTTTGGGGTAAGAGAGGATGGGTCTAGAGTCTAGCATATAAACAGGACATACAGCCTATATATTAGTACCATGTTTTTATACTTTTTTGTATTCTACTGTAGACTCCAGACCTAACCTTTAAGCCCCTCCACTTTTAAAGTTTAACTTTGCCACATCTGCTATTCAGTGCACTGCCCAGCCACCTACTCGGCCCCCATTCCCAGGAATCACATTTTTAAAAGTTACCAGGTATGCAAATAAGTGAAGGCAATTATAATAAGTTCAAGTGGGTTATGTGAACTGTGCACATGCAGGAGATTTGCCTAGGCAGACATCTGTGCTGCAGCGTTTTTTTTCTACCCTTGGCCATGCAAGACAGATCAATGGCATTGCTGTAAAAAAAAAAACTAAGCTGACCATGCAGATTGCAATGGTAGTGCATCATATTTTCATATAAGATGTTCTTTAGTGATGTATAAGG